GTTTTAAGGCTCTATTTCACATTTTAGTCAATTTTTCATATAAAACTTTCCAAACAATTATACGGACTGTGCACCCAAGTCGAGAAATGATAAATAGTGCTTTTCGAGGTTTTAGATCACAGAAATAATTATTAAATTTAAAGATGACCTTTTGGGTCATCACAATTACAATCTCCTCTATATTTTTATTTCTTTCGTTAAACCTATTTTTAGACAGATTGCATCTGTCGCTAAGACATTCAAAACTGAACTGTAACCGAAAATTGAAATGTAAAATTGGCTTATTGTCTTATTGGTATCGGGTTATCGGATTAATGGTTGGTAAACGGATTGAAATTTTATAATTAACGGCTTATCGATTTGGGGACGAATTATTCAATTTTTTTATCGGATAAACCGTTAACCCGTTAAGAATTTTTATATTTATATTTTATCCCTATGTATATTAAATATCTCTTTCATTATTTGAAACCCTAAATCCCTAATTTCTAATTTTCCTAAGCAGTCAGCACTCAGCAGCAACATCCTCGCCAGTCTCTACTATCTCCTTTCAAATGGTTTCAAATGGTTTAGAAACCAAAAAGTTGTCTCCTCCAATTATTTTTATTACTAAAGATTTCTTTAGAAGGTTTTGATAAAGTAGCAGTTAGTGATTTCTGAAAATGGTTTGAATATTCCGGGCATGATAGTGTCACATAAACGGGTTGAATTCAAGGTTTAAATTTAGTGATTTAATATCAAGTGGTATATGTACTTATTGTCTATTTGATTTAGCCGATAAACCGCTCGATAACCGTCAGATAATCGTTAAACTGTTACCGATCCGCCCGATATTTTATCGGATGGTTAACGGATTAGTGCATTTACAAACCGATAACCAATAAGCAGAACCGTTAAGCATAAATATCCGCCTAATCCGCCCGATAAGCAGCCTTACTTGTGACTAATCTCTTTGTGATGGAAAACTTAATTGAACCCGTCCCAAAACTTGGAGCATTTCATATATACCCACTTTTGGGGTCACTATTGAAGTTACACATGAATTATACAAAATTTTGCAAAGTGTACCTGCTCGAATTTAAAGTAATTCAATCTCTTCAATGCAACTTCAGAATTAAATATGAATTTCTTCTATCTTTCAAATGCAACTTCAGAAATTCGAATACTAAGTAGTTCAATCTCTTCAATGCAACTTCAGATTTCAAATCTTAAGTTCTGAAACAAAAACTTATTCTTCGAATTTTAACAATCCAACACACGACTTAAGGCCTAAATCTACTCCAAATGAGCTCAAATTTGAAACATAACTTTCAAATATCATAAAGAACAAACACCAATAATTAAATTGCCAAAAATAACAACAAATTAATCTAACAATCCTATTTTACAACTAAGAAGGAAAAGAAGAAACCCTAAGCACAAAAAAGAAGAAGAAAATAGCAACAAAGAAGAAAAGAAAAGTGTATGTATTTGAAGTTACCCGAAAATTGGATATCAGTTAAACTTTTTTTTAATAATAGATACAAATTTAATGGGTGGCGCAAAACTGGGCGCCACATAAAATTGTATGCGAAACTTGCGACAAATGGTATCCATTGCCAACCTTAGCAACAAAAAGGCCTCTCACTATTTTCGCTCAATTTTGTCTTTAAATTCATAATTCATTTTATTGTTAAAATTAATACGTCGCAAAAATATTTTGAGAATCATTTCTAAAGATATTTGGCGAAAAATCACTTGTCACAAATGCGTCGCAATATTTTATTTTATATGTTAGCTTTAACTATAGAAATACGCATTGCAACACCCGAATCAAGCACATAAAATGAATATTATTAGATACATTTAAAAATAACTGGTTTTTATATAAACTAATATTCTACCAGGTCCAAAATATATAAACAACAGAACGCTGTGAATTTTAAATGTTATTCACGATATATTCAGAGGCGGACCCAGGATTTTAACACGACGGGGATACATATTTTGTTCAATCATTGCCCCTAAAGGCTTTTAGCGTTCATGGTGCCAAGTGATTTAATTTAACCATTTTTAAGGTATAATATATTACATAGGTCCGCCTCCGGATATATCTCAATAATCTTTACTTAGATTTTTAGCCGCAACATGTATTTGAATAAATATTATATCTAAATGTATATTTAATAGTATATATTGCAACAAACATGGCCGTTGTTGAGTGCAAATTCTATAACAAGTCAATCTCTTCTTTAAACATAGATTCTTTCTACTCAATTAATATTTTGCCCATTTTATAATAGATATTTCTTTTTAAATGTATATTGCTTTTCAATAATAAAAGGTGGACGAACTTTTCTCGTGACCCCATTCAATTTTATTTAAAATCGCAAGATTAATTAGTCAAACATAATCTGGGTTAGAATAGATGCATTAAATTTGGAGTTATCTTCTTACTTTTGATCTTAGCTCTTCAATTGTGCATTTAACACTTGATGCCCATTATACCCCTCTACATCTGCTATATAACCTTCTTTTTTTCCCTTATAGTTCTTCATCTCTTGATCCTTTCTTTTTCCTTGGTTGCCTTTTAATTTTCTCATATAATTAAGCTTTTCTGATTAGCTTAGTAAATTATATGTATCTCTCACACACTATCCTTCTATTTCTGAGATTGGATTTTAGTCATGAACATAGACATATATGAAAGTTTGCAATCACCTTGTCTGATGAGGTATTTCCTTAATGCATTAATTAACATGCATGAATTGAGTTCTTGAAAAAAATAGAATAGGACGATACATATAGAATCTTTTATTTTCTAGATTTATTATATGGTACAAATGATCTTTACATGACTCTTCATTCGTAAAATTCAGCATCTTGATGTATCAATGAAGTGATAAATCAAGTCAAGAGAAATCCCCAAATACAGCTCTTAATTTTTATTACTTGCGAGTTCTTTTTCTTTTTTGCAGTGTTTTATGGCTTCACCAAAAGAAAACAGGGTTCTCAAAATCCTCAACTCATTGCAAAGGAATGGACAAAACAACCAAATTACAATTCCAACCTATATAAGTCCGCAAGAAATTGATCGCTATTAATCATTCGGTGACTCTTATGGTGAGAATCCTTTAGAATTTCCAGTTCTCCGCCCTTTTCAGGCACTCCATTCCGATTCAACAAATGGTGCCAAGTTATACTTAGGGTTTTCAAAAATAAAAATAAAGATTGGATGAGATAAAGATACTAGAAAAAATTCAAGAAATGAGGAGGATTCGTGAAGATAAATACAAGAAAAAAATGCAAGGATCATCATAAGACGTAGGAATCAAAAAGCAATCGAAAAAATTGTCCTATGATGATCCTTTCATTTGTTTTTCCTTTGTTCATCTTCATAAATCCTCCTCATTTCTTGAATTTTTCTTAGTATTTTTATTTCATCTAGTTCTTTATCTTTTACAGTTGAAAATTATAAGTATGAACTTGACACTTTTTGCTAAATTGGCAAATGGAGTGCCTGAAAAGGGTTTAGACACGGGATTCTACAGTATTCTCATTATAAGAGTCATCGAGTGATTAATGAAGATCAATTTCTTACTCATTTTATAGGTTGAAATTGTGTTTTGGTTGTTTTGTTCATTTCTTCACAAGGAGTTGAGGATTTTGGCGATCTTGTTTTCTTTTGGTGCATTCATTCAGCATTGCGAAAGAAGAATTGCATAAAGTACTAAAATTTAAGAGCTTTATTATGAGATTTCTCTTGACTTGATTTATCATTTCATTTGTTCATCAATATGTTGTATTTTAGATAGGAAGAGAAATGTCGAAATTATCTATACCATATAAATCTAAAAAATAAAAGATCCAATATATATTGTTTGATTCTAATGATTTAAGAACACAATTCATGCATGTTAACCAATGTATTATTAATGAAATACATCATCTAACAAGCTGAAACAGATTTTAAACTTTCATACATGTCTATATTCATGACTAAATTTCTACATAAAGAAAGGTGAACAAAGATTCCATGTTCGACATAGTTGCTTCTTGTTATTTAATTCATACAAGAGGGCAATTATGACTTTTCATGCTACCTTAAAAGCTTCCTTATCCTCTGCAATTGATACACCTCTTCAGTCTTCTACATGTTACTCACAATATTTCTGAAATGTTTCATAAATTTTATTTTCTTGGGTACAAGTCCTGTAACTTCACTTTACTCATGATTCAGATACCTCTTTGAAGTAGAAAAATAATTAAAAAGGTTAAAACTGTCTAGTATTTATTCAGATAATATAAAGTTATATACTCCTATAATTTTTATTAGTTACGTAATAATGAAATCACATCCTGTTTAACTTTTTTCGTCTTATATGTTCAAAAATTATCTTAGATTTAATATAAACATCATTTCTTTAAAATTAAACATTACTTCCAACATGAAAGGATTGGAGTCTCGGCAAATATATATATATATATATATTTATATTTATTTATTTATTTAATCTTTCATGTTTGGAATATCACTTGAAACACAAATTAAGAAATAGGTCTAATGAAAAGTAAACGCCTTATTTAACCTGTTTTTTTTCTTTCTATTTCTAATGAGGAAGTATGTAAAAGCATAAAGTACATTAATTCGGCTAACATGTAAAATTAGAGACGTGCGAAACAACATTGCAACAATTAATCTGGAGATGAAAATTGATTTTTAAAAGTTGATAGTGTTTGGACATGCATTTTATTTGAAAAGAATTTGAAATTTTGAGAGTATAAAACTTAAAAAGCTACTCTAAAGTTATTTTTGGGAGTTAAAGATCATCTTTTCAAATCTGCCAAAAAATGGTTAAAATCTAAAAATAAATAGATATTTAAAAACAAAATTTGAAAAAAAGCTCCCAAATTTTATGGCCGAACGAAAGCTGAGTGTTTAAACTTTAAAGGATAAAACATCTGTCGGATTGTCGGAATAACCATCCACATTATCCCATTCATCTATAAACTGCACTAACTTTTCGATCTAGTATGAATTTCCACAAACTACGAATCCACCCGTGTTTTTAAATCTAGTTGCAGTCTTTCCAACTCTTTTGCACCTACAGCACTGAAAGCAATCTGCTAATTGATAATAATTAGTACAAAAAAAGAATTCAAGTAATAGATAGCTGATAAAAACGAAAAATTAGAATGAAAGGTGACTATCAGCAGAATAGACTCCATAAATGAGATGTTGAGGAAATCCAATATCAAAACAATAACCTATCTTCTTACATGGGATTTCTTTCACGCTTAGATAAGGAGGTGATCAGAGATTTTAGGTCCTCGTTGAACTGGAAACGTGACCTTGAGAATGTATATCCATGGCTCCTCAGATAGCCATGAGATCACCATACTGGCGCATCAAAATGATGGAACCTGCAAAGAGTGCTGAAGCTCGAAGCAGTTTCTGCAAAGAGGCATGCAAAAACAAAAGTTAAATAGGACGTGAGACTAAATTGCTACCCTTTTGTTTCGGACAAGTACAAAAATGATACTATCATCTGCTTAAATTTTTAAACAAGCGTGATAAAAATTGGAAGTTGAGATACATTGAACATCGGACATACCACCAAGAACCTGCAAAGCGACTTATTATGAACAATAAAACTGCTTTCATCCTCCCATATTTTTGAGGGGCATGGGGGAGAAGCTGTTTACGAATAGCTAATTGACACGTCTACATTTCATTTTCTCGAGGCAATTTTTCTTTTAAATGGTTATGATGAGAATTGAGAAGAATAGGAGAAGGTAATCAGGATTTCTACTTCATGTGTTGCAGTTGATTTCACAAAGGTATAAACATAGTAATATATCAACTTTACTACGATAACAACAAAGAAGGTCTGCCGCAAATTAATGAAAAATCAAACAAGAATCAGTCATGAGAACGAGGTCTACGCTAGCATCACCATTTAACAACCACTAAAGCGCCGCTAATAGAAAATTGAAAGAACGAGTTAAAGTAGGCAGAAAGGGTTAAACAAAAAAGGAGATACAGAGAATAGGAGGATACAAAAAATATCAGTCTGAAGCCAAAGAATAATATAAAGAAAAGCTTTTCTTTATAATTATAGGCAGGGACACTATTCCATATTTTAAGTTTTACATTCTATTCATTGAAAAGCAACAACAACAACAACAACAACAACCCAGTATAATCCCACTAGTGGGGTCTGGGGAGGGTAGTTTGTACGCAAACCTTACCCCTACCCTGGGGTAGAGAGGCTGTTTCCGATAGACCCTCGGCTCCCTCCCTCCAAGAACTCCCCACCTTGCTCTTGGGGTGACTAGAACTCACAACCTCTTGGTTGGAAGTGGAGGGTGCTCACCACTAGAGCAACCCACTCTTGTCACATCTTGGTTGAAAAGCATCGATTCAATATGTTCTTATGTACCCCATAAAACATTCAATAGCAAAATCACAATGTATGTAACAGCTGCAAACAAAATAAGATTATAGAGTCTGGATAATGGCAAAGTTAAGTAATAGTTATCAGATGTAATCTTACTAAATGAGCCTCATGTTCTACATCAGCACCAAGACAATCCCGAGTAGACAAATGTACATTATCATCTTTTGATCAAGAAGGAAGATCACCTATGCTGAAACTATGAACAGTGCCCAAATCAAAAAAGAATGAATAGGCCCAAACAAAAAGACGAATAAGGCCCAAATCAAAATTAGTTGAGAAATGTTTTTCACGCTAATAATCTCCTTTTGTTCTGACCCACATTTAAAATAAACGAACAGGACCAAAGCAAAATTAGTTGAGAAATGCTTTTCACAATAACAATCTCTTTTTGTTCAGACCCACATCCCAAAGGAAAAAGAAAATTTATGGTCTCATAAAAGCTTAAGATTGCGTACGATAGACCATTGTGGTCCGGCCCTTCCCCGGACCCCGCCATAGCGGGAGCTTAGTGCACCGAACTGTCTTTTTATATTTTTATTTTTATAAAAGCTTAAAATGCCTGTAGACCAAAAATAGTGACAACAAACAAGCATACATAATTTGTTCTTGAAGCACACAAACTATATTTTTGCTGGAATTTTTCTCTTACTAAAGAATAGAGCTGAAGAAATCAAGGGATTTGAAATATTATTCCCTCAACAACTGCTGATTAGGAACACATTGACATGGTCATACACAAAACACAATCCAATGAAAATATACAAGATTCTAGTAAACAACTAGAGCTATTTGTGTTAAACAATATAACCTGTATCCTTTCGGCTTTCGCCCCCTTCCCCTCCTCCAAAACAACAAGGTTAGTACCCGAACACGTCCACGAAAAGTTGCATTGTTGATCAAAGCTTTGCACNAAAAAAAAAAATATCATTCCTCTGTTTCTTCGTTCATACTTGAAATATAAGTTTCAATACATAATCTTCTTATATTACCTCAAAAACAGACCCCAGGGCAAAGTTCAACGGCAATCTCTCTTGAGAATATAGTAACATCATTAGCTTTTTATTATAAATGTATAACTGAGCAATCCCTGGGTTCAAAACTGGGAGGAGTATAGGCCCGCCCTCCATCCTGCTCCCACTTAAATACGAGAAATTGCAGGCAGTAGTGGAGCCACATAGCTCCAAGGGGTGTCAATTATGTATATACACTATGTATTGAATCCCCTTGACTTCTTCGTGTATTAATTTTTAAAAAATTTTGACTCCCCTTCGAGAAAATCATGGCTCCGCTACTGACTGCAGGGTTCAAACTCGTAAAATACATAATCCTCTCAGCTGAACCAAAGCCCTAGGGGATTTACCTTCTCATTAACTTGTGAACCCAATTAATTTTATTAAAATTTATCAATCAATCAACTACATCTCAATTGAAAACTAGTTGAAGTCGGCTATATAAATCCTCTGAATCCATTTTGCTTCATTCAATCCACTTCATTTAAAGTACTAAATAAGTTGTATTTTAATCAAATTAGGGACAGATCAAAAAATACAATCCCCTATTATTTCTAAGAAAGAAGAGGAAAAGGAGTTACCATGTTGAGATTCCACTTTTCCTCATCATGAACCTGAGAATTCCAGAAAGCTTTGACTTTGTCGAACGATATCACTGAATCCGCCATTGAATTGAAGATGGTACAAGTGAGAGCCGCGATTTTGAGAAATACACTGTACTCTTTTTAGGGTTTAGTCTCTTTTTTTTTTTTTAAGGGTTTAGGGTTTAAAACTTAAAAGTCAGTATATTATGGAAGTTACCCAACAAGGGTATTCTAGTAAACTTACCCTATTTATTATAGTAAATTTCTTTTTTGCTTTGCGATTTTTAGAAGTGGTTTATTGGCTTTATGTGTTCTGGGTCGTTTGATATGGTGCATAAAAATAATGTTGAATAAAGTATATTGGTAATATTGGTATTAGCTATGATTGCATTAGTTATGCTGACATATTTTTTATTTATTGTTTGATTTGACTTATTAAAGCAATGCACAATTTCTAAAAAAATTATTTGTTTACAAAAATACCCTCCCATCACTTTATCTTTTTTTTAAAAATATATGTTGAGGAATGTTTTTATATAAAAAAAATATTTTAGAAAAATTATTTGATTTGTCTACCTATATTGTAGTATAGAATCGAATATTTATCTATAAAAAAAAAAGAAAATGTGCTAAGTATTTATTTATCTACTAGAGATATAATCCTCCCCCTTC